TTATTAGACGTTTTGTGTTAGTTATAACTAACACCAATACCAACATCTAAATAATAACAATAAAGACACAGTGGAGCAAATGAAGGTTCCACGTGTTCACGCTCACTTACCATGTGACATTAATTTTTTTTATTAATGTTGCATTAGATAAAGAAAAAATTACATATAAGTCCCATAAAAAAATTAATTACTACCTGCAAGGCTCGTTAACAATTGACATAAGGTATTAATTTTTTTATGTAGAATTTCAACATAATTCTTTCTTAAATTAATGATTATTTGGATATCAATTTAGAGTGCAAATCTTTCATTTATACATATAAAAATTTATGAATCTAAATTTAGATTTGATTTAAACCTAGATATATTTGTTATTATAATTTATTTATAATTTAAAATTATTTTCATATTTAAATTATTTAAAATTTTAGCCACTCCAACTCTCTAGTTTTATTCAAGTTTTTAATATCTTTAACACTCTCATATGCTTTTTGTCTCTTGTTCTCATTGCTCATTAATTAAAAAATAAATGTAAACTCATTACTCTTAATTTTTATTTTTGTTTTAGACTCAACTCACTTTTTATTCCTTTAAAATTGTTTACACTGTTCAAACAAAATATTTTAAATATATGAGCATTTAAATATAAAATTTTAAATCTAAAATTCACATCCATTTATCAAAACATTATCTTGTAATTTAAATTTTTGAAAAAAAATACTTGGCATATTTTTCTCACATACTAACCATTATTGCAGGGAGGAAAAAAAAAAGTGCAAATCAGCCAAATCTAATGCTTGAATTTGATTTTGATGTATGGTTTTTATAGATACATATATTGTTATATCATTTTAACATATTTTTTATCTATTTATTTTCTATGTTAGTTTTTAATGTTTAGATAACTCATACTCTGGATAGGCGTACATCGAATGCAGTAATGCACGAAGTGTATAGGCATACATTTTGGGGAAAAAATGTCATTTATATTTTTAATATTTAAAATGATAAAAATCATGAAATAAAACACTGGTTATTTATATGAATGTGCTAATAAATTCTAAAATAAAACACATTTAAATTTTAATTTATGCAGTGATAACTCATCTTGAAGTAGAAATTGTTCTTTCTTATTTTAAAATGCATGGGTAACGAATTCTAAAGTAACTTGTGTGGGAATAAAAGGAATTCTTATTTATATTCATAATAATATAAAAGATATTTATGTATTATAGAAGGACACTTTCTTAAAAAAAAAAAGATTTATGATCTGTTTGATTTGAGTGAAATGAAAGGAGGACAGGGAAAATTTTAATGAGTTCAATTGAAAATAAAATGGAAAATTGAGTTTGAACTTTTTTAATTGATTTTCCCTTCTTTTTTATTTTACAGTTTTTCTCCTCTAAGATTTTACAGCTCCGTTTGACCAATCTTCCTATTAAACTCATAAACAATTTTCTTTCCCTACCTTCTTTTCCATTCAATTTCCTTAAATAAAAGAAAAAATATAATAAAATTTAAAAATAAAAAATTATCAAGTGCTCGTTCAAATTATATAAAAAAATGAATTATAAATGTTGATTAAGAAAGTTACTGGTAGAAATTTCAACTGCAAATTAAAAATTTACATCTAAAATTTAAATGTTTAAAAATTTACATCTAAAATTTAAATGTTTTATTTATAATTAAAAATTATAAAATTGCAATAATTTGAATTGATACTTGAAATTTATTTTTTAAAAATAATTATTGAGCATTTAATTGTCATTGATTATTCTTCACTAATAAAATTCTCCTAAAATAAGATACAGTGTTGGTGCATGGCTGGCAGATAGAAAAATATTTTCTATGAAGGAAATAGATAACATATTTTTTTAAAAAAATGAGATGATATATTTTCCATTTTTTTAAATAACATTATATTAGTCTCACCTATCTCTATTATAACAACTAACTCGTTAAAATTAAGAAGAGATGATTAAAGGCTTCTCTGACAACTTGTTTTAAAAATAGTTTTATGTTTTTTAGAATAAAAAAATTGTTTGATAACATATTTTTAAAAAATATTTTAAAAATAAATAAATATTATTCTAAAGAATAGAAAACCGAAAACATCTTTGTATTATGGAATTATTATTTTATTCTCTTCAGAAAAAAATATTGCTTGATAATGTATTTTTAAAAAATATTTAAAAAAATTAAATATTATTCTGAAGAATAAAAAATTAAAATATTTTTTATGTGTTATAAGATTATTATTTTAAAAAAACAAGAAAGAATGTAAAAAATATTTATTTTAATTATTTTTTTCTTAGAACATGCTCTAGAAAATACTAGTTTTTATAACAATAAAATAAAAATAATTTTAAATAAGCTTTAAACTATTAAATTTATCTGAAAATAAAATAAATTTTTACTTAAACCCTTACTTAAATGAAAACTTTTCAAATTTAGATTGCATTCTCCTTTATAATTAATAAATTTAAATAATAATAATAATGTACTTAAATGAAAACTTTTCAAATTGCATTCTCCTTTATAATTAATAAATCTAAATAATAATAATAATAATAATAATATTAAAAACATAATTAATTAAGTATTTTATACTTTTTCTGTTCAAAATTTAAAGTATTTTTAATTAAATTTAATCTTTAATAAAATAATTTTTTGTTTTTAAACTAGACCTATATTTTTAAATTTATTTTTATTTAATAAAGTATTTTATTTTAAAATAAATATAAAGTAATTTATTTAATAGAGCTATTTTTTTAAAAAAATAATAATTATATTTTAAAAAATACTTATATTTTTTAATGTTAATCTTTTAAAAAATACTTTATATCGTATTAATTTGTACACGTCACGTCACCAAGTAAATGTAACAGGACATGAGGGTGTACTTACCGAACATTTTTAATGTACCTGATCAAAGGGGTCTAAAATTTGCTTGTAGTTACATAGGACACGATAGGAAGGTGGAAATTGGCAAACAACAATTATTCCGCGTAATTAGAAAGAAAAGTGAGAAGGCCGCGAGAGCCGAGAAGCATGAGGATCCTGTGCGGCAAACGGTGCGCTTTCTTTTGTTGCACTCATTCGGATCCTCTCAATCCCCTCAGAAGACGGGGCCCCACATAGCCTTATCTGACACTAGTCACGTGCCCACTTGTACTCTCATTGCTTTGCACGCGCCAGCACTGTGGGACCCATCCCCTTCGCCTGATCGGATTCTTTTCTTGCCGGTCGTTGAAATAAATGAAACAGCATCATCAATACGCTGGACCCAATGACACTCCATCATATTTATTAATTTTATTTTAACTTTAATTAAATAACTAAAATAAAAAGATATATGGTCTGAAATATAAGCTATTTTTTAAAAAAAATTTGTACATTAATAAAAAAATTTATTCCCATGAAATATATACTCCCTCTGATCTTATTTATTAGTTATTTTATCAATCTCATCAATATCAATATAATAAAAGTATAAGAAATAAACATAAATGAAATTTTAAATATAATCCTCAAATAAAAAGTAAAAAATAAAAAAGTAATATAATATATTTTTTTATCTTTTTATCTCTTACTTTTTAATAATAGTTTGGGGACTTTAATTTAAAATAAAATAATTCTATCAGTTAAATTATATATTAAATTGTTTATATTTAAAAGTAAAATTAATTAAAAAATGTATATATATATATATATATATATCAGTTTTGCTTGTTCCCATGAAAACCAGCATCGGCCTCTCCGATCCAATGGCACTTTCTTTTTTTCTTTTCTCCTCTTTTTTTTTAATTATTTTTCCAGATTTAAAATATGTTGTTTTGTTTTGCTTGGATACTATTAAATGGAAAGGGTTTTAAGTTTTTCCCAAATTTTGGTTTAAGTAAAATTAATTTATAAGTATGATTTTAGGCAAAACTGGAATTGGTCAAAATTGAGGTCGATCAGATGGTCAGTAAAACGTGATTTAGGCTTCAAAACCATGATTTTTCAGTCTTCGAACACAACCAAGCAGGCAAGAAAAATACCATCAATTAATATATTAAAGTATTGACCATATTACTAAATTTTTCTTATTTTAATGCATGAAAACATTTCCATGTTATTTATATAAATAAGGACATAACAAAAAATGTTAACAAAACTGTTTTAAATTTTTTAAATTACATGAAGTGAAACAAAAAACATAAGAGAAAATTACACACAGATTTCAAAAAAATAATTACTATAAAATTTATTAATAATTGAATTAAGACCATTAATAATTTTATTAATTCAATTATTAATATATATCATAATAATTAATTTTTAATGTAAGACTTCAACATAATTATCCCATACCATGTTTTAAAACGATTCACATCATGAATCTTATTATTTATCACCACAAAAATTTAGATGTCTCAAAATTACCAAATCACCCCAATCCTGACAATTTTAAAAATAATTTAAGAAACTATCCAACATTAAACATCAGGCAGTTTTCACGCCGGACGCCGTCCATTTAGCTTCTTTTTCTTGTCTGCTCCTGTTTGATAAACATTTTTTTAAACATTACTCCAGAATGAAAATTGCTAAAATATAAATATTAACATAAAATATAAAATTTATAAGAAATTATATTATAATTGAAAATTAAAAAATAAATAAAGAAAATTTAAGAAGAATGACATTTAAATCCAAAAGAAAATAAATTGTGATAGGTACATCTTGAGTTTTAGCATTTTTTTTTTTTGAAGAATCCGGTTATAAACATAAATTCAGTTATAATATGAGAATTATATTTAAAAATTAAACATTTTGTATATAATTAATTAAAACAATGATATGAAGAATTATTTTTCAACAAGAAAGCATTAGCGACATGAAATGTTGCCACGTATGCTGGCCTTACTTTCCCTGGTGACACGGCTTGGAAGATTTTGGTCGACTCTGACTCTCACTGAAATTACACCCGCCTTTTCTCTATTCCCTCCCTTCATCAACCTGCATCATTGCTGTCCCATCACCATGTGACTGATCTATTTCTGTGGTAGTTCCTCTCTCTCTCTATCTATATGTCGGTAGAACCCTAGTAAGCACAATGCTTAACAGATTCTAACAGTAGCAGCTCCACATGGTCTGTGCTGGTGTTTGTTTCTTGTGCTGAGATTTGGGGTTGTACTCAGAATCTAGAATGGTGGTTTGGCCTAAGTGTTAGAGATGACTGGAGAGTGTTCTTCTTGCCGGGAATTCGTAATGAAAGCAGCTTCCACTAATGGGTCTTCGTTTTTCTTGCTCTTCTTCTTCTTCGCCGTATTGGTTAGCTCGATATCAGCTTCGTCTCCAATTGGGTCGTCGGGGCATTCCATAAAGTTCATCCTAGGTTCGTCTTGGAATTGTCTTCAACTTTTTTTTTTTCCCATGACATTCTTCTTGTTCACTCTGATTTTGCTTCTGTGATGGGTTGGATTTAGATCTAGTTTTGCTGCCGGAGAGCTCATGAGTTTTTTCCCCCTTCCTCTGTTTTTTTTTTATAAATGGAAAGATCGAATTCTTATGAATTTTGAGCTTCATGTTTGCTGAATTTTCAAGAAATTGGATCCTGTAAGACAATCTAAGCCCATATTGAACATTGTTTTTGTCGCTGGATTTTATTTGGAGTCCCAGAAATGGAAGGTACATTTTCTTGGCCAATGAACACGGATGCTTCTTTCTTTCTTCTCGGACTAATATTTTTTTGTGACGTAATTTGCACGGTTGTTGATTCAGTGATTTCTCTTACAAGCTTTTGTAATTAATCATGCTTGTTGGGTTTTCAGGAGAAGAAAATTTGGGTCCATGGAAGAACGAAATCGAGCAAGCGGCTCTTGCCCCAGGCCCTGAAACTGATTCGCGTCACGGAACTCTTGTATTGGCGGCAAACCGGACCAAAAGACCCGATATTCTAAGGCGTTTTCGACAGTACCGAGGTGGTTGGGACATCACAAATCAGCATTATTGGCCGTAAGTACCATGATTAATCAATATCTATTTCCTTCTTAAACTAGCGTTCACTCCCCCGCGCGGAAGATGACACTTCACTGCAAATTGTTGCAGCGAAACTAAATTATCATCAATTGCATAACAACCACACAATCATTTCATTGACATATGCTATTGTAGAAGACATTTTACAATGTTAGTACATGCAACAGTACTTTACATTCAGTGAATAACCATGAAACTATCATGAAGACAAATTCCTGAACACTTCTCGGTACACTACATTTGTTGTTTTCTTCTTTGCCTCGTTATTGTTGTCTCCCAACAATATTCTTAAACCTCCAATTGATTTCATCCTTGACAAAGCCACATATAATTGCCCATGCATAAAGATTAGCCTCGTCAAGTACAACCTAGTATGTCGTAATGATTGACCTCAATAGTTATTGCAAAAGAAAGTGCGATTAAGAATTGTTTTCTCTGCATGCGAAATGGAGGATTTGTTGTGTTGTTGATGCCAATTCGATGATTACAAGTTAAATTCTGGCCTCTTAAAGCTCCTGTCATCCGATAATGTTTTTGTAGTCTTGTAGAACATGTTCTATCTTTTCATCTGCTGTGCCTTGCATAGTGGCTTTGGATGGTTTTTGTTCTTCTCTACACGACAATGGTGTTGATGTCCCAAATCACGTTATCTATCATAATAAGGAACATGAGATGATAACTGAACAAGTCTTTTATCCATCTTTTCTATTGTGAATTCTAATTTTAATTTCACATGTTATTTCTTGTTTACTTGAAAGTGCCTATCCTATGTAGCATCTAACCAATAATTTGTTGTCCTACTTTCATTTCATCAACATCTTTTTGCTTGTAATTATCAACTTCCCAATTCCATTATTTACCTTAATTGATTGGGTTTCATCCATTATACATACAGTCGGTTGGATTCACTGGTGCTGCTGGTTTCATTCTTGCTGTCCTATGGTTTATTTCTTTTGGTTTGGCGCTTGTAACTCATCTGTGCTGCGGATGGGGGATCAACATCAACGCCGAAGGATCAAATCATTCACGAAGAATATGTCTTATATTGCTCATAGTATTTACATGTGCTGCAGCGTAATGTTCTAAACTCATTTTAATTTTGCTTCCTTTTCTTTTCTTTTATTATTTTTTTGTGACAAATTTTACTTCTTTAACTTGTTCAGTGAATTACTTTTTTCTTGTTATCTCTTGGTTTTTGCATGCTTTCTTCACAGGTTTTAAAAAAGTTGATTGTTTAGTTGTTTTTCCCTTTTTAAACCAGTGTATATGCATCTTCTCTCATGGTTTGTTACCTGGTACCTGTGATCTGTAATTTCTATAATTGATTGCAATTTTTCTACTAATATTTAAAATCAGTAATTAATTCTATGGTGGGTATTTGGAAATACGTGCAATGGAAAAGGAAACATGTGAAGATTAGTGGAACCTGGTTTGAGCTGGTTTTCATAGTTGCTTCCAGTGATCTTGATGGCTGATGTGATCAAATGGGAAAATGTATATTGCTGAATTATTTCCTCCATTTCCAATACCCTTTCATTTGAATTTGTAGAGAGTATAAGTGAGTAATGAGTTAGTCTGGACTTCAGAACTTGATGTCGCTGCTTGAGATTTTTTATTTTAAAATTAATGTGTTAAACCTTTCCTGGTTTCTCTTTCTAAGTGCTAACATGTTCTGACCTTTCGATCACACAGGACTGGATGTATCTTACTTTCTGTAGGGCAGAATAAGTTTCATGGTGAGGCATTGCATACCCTCCACTATGTTGTGAATCAGTCAGACTACACCGTGCAAACTTTGAGAAATGTGACTCAATATCTTTCTCTTGCCAAGACTATCAATGTTACCCAGATCATTCTTCCATCCAATGTCATGGAGGATATTGACAGTTTAAATACAGACTTAAATACTGCAGCAGATACACTATCTGAGAAGACAAATGAAAATTCTGTTAGAATAAGAAGAGTATTCAGTGCTGTGTATGTAATGATTAATTTTGTCACTCCATCTCCATTCATTCTATAGGATTTTATCTCAGAATCTGCAATGCTAAACTTGGTGTCCTTTTCATAGGCACTCGGCTTTGATTGTCGTGGCTGCGGTTATGCTTCTTTTGGCACTGATTGGATTATGTATGTATTCATGTTAATTTTACCGGAAAAATTTAGTTGCTGGTATTTTGCTGAAATTTCTCAAGTTAAAATTTGACAACCGTATGGTTTCTCAATTATACCATACATTTGTCATATTTTAATAACTGCACCTATGTTTAAAATGTTTTTTTTTTTTTAATATTTATAACTGATCATTTTTTTTTTTTTTTGGCCCCCAGTTTTATCTATCCTTGGACATCAACATGCGATCCTCATGTAAGTTATCTTTGCAAATGATCTATTTGAATTTTTAAAGTGGCTCTTAAGCATCCATTTCATGTTCTTATATTTGATTTCAAATGTTATTGCAGATTTGTTATCAGTGGATGGTTACTGGTTGCGATTACTTTCATTCTCTGTGGAGTTTTCATAATCCTTGATAAGTAAGCTATCGTATCTCAGAGATTTTAGTTTTACATTTTCTGGGGAGGGAATTTCAAATAATCCACATGAAAAGCTGACATGAACAGCTAATGTTGAACTGAAGTTCCATTTTTTGTACATTCTGGAAATTCCAATCTTGTATTAAAAAATGACATTGGCAAGACCTGACTATTATAATTATTTTCTTTTTTTCTATTTTAGTGCAATTTCTGATACCTGTTTGGCTATGGGAGAATGGGTGGAGAATCCACATGCAGAATCTGCTCTTAGCAACATCCTTCCATGTGTTGATCAGAGAACCACCAACAAGACACTTTTTCAGAGTAAACAGGTGGTCACCGATATTGTAAATGTTGTTAATCAGTTCATCTATAACAGAGCAAATGCGAATCCGAGACCAGGCAATCCAAATTATTACAATCAGTCAGGACCTGCAATGCCACCCCTGTGCTATCCTTTTGATTCTCAGTTTCAAGAGCGTCAGTGTACAGGTCAAGAAGTTTCCTCAACAAATGCTTCACTGGTACGTTTTTCACCACTCAAGACATGATTCTCAAACATGCCTCCACTTTCCGTATATAGATCTTAATGAGGTGTTGGAATGTTATACTAAAGCCCTGTACTGCTGGAGGTTATACTTCTTGTTTCTTGTTTCATTTTGGTGATTGATAGGCATTTCAAGTGTAGGTGACATGTATGGTTGACTCGCATGCTAAAAGGCCAACACAATTGTTTTTTTTTTTTCAAAAAAAAAACTCACAATTGTTTCTTTTTCTTTTCTCCATTAAACGAATCTGATAAACGTTACTTAGGAACCAAGGGATGCTTGGTTCAACCGATCGAAAAAGTTGAATTAGCTTATGGGGTCTCAAGTCCAGGTCCATATGATATGTAGTCACGTTAAGTAGATCTGCCAAAGGCATCCCTGAGGTGCCTATGACTCGTGAGGTTACTATTGGTAATAATGGTCCTAGATAGTGGAGGTTTGGATTAGTTTGGATGGGGAGTGGTAATGCCCCATATATTCCAAGGTATTGAGTGATGGAATTTAAAAAATAATAATAATAATGCCATGGGGAAGAGGGAAGAGGGAGAAAATTCGAATTTTCCTCTTCAACTACAAATTCTTGTGGATATTCTGATATTGTTCTGCTATATATCTATGTTAGTGACAACAAAGGAGAACTCAAATTCCTGTACAAATATTTTCAGGTCTGGAATAAATTTGAATGCGAGGTATCTAAACAAGGATACTGCACAACAACCGGCAGGGTGACCCCAGAGATTTACTCTCAGCTGGTGGCTGCAGTTAACGAAAGCTATGCGTTAGAGCACTATGCTCCGCCTCTACTCAGCCTTCAGAATTGTGATTTTGTGAGGGACACATTCCAAGAGATCACTTCAAGTTTCTGCCCGCCATTGAAGCATTATCTGGAGATCATCAATGCAGGGCTAGGTCTCATTTCAGTCGGTGTGTTGATGTGCCTGGTTCTCTGGATACTCTATGCAAACCGCCTCCAAAAGGAGGAAGTGTTTTTGAAGTTTTCCTTTCCGGAAAAACTGAAGAATAGATTCAGTAAGAACCGCAACAACTCAAAATCAACTTCTTCCGCAGCTGTATCAAGTGAAGTGTAGATTGTACTATAGAGAAATTATTCACGAAAAGTATATGAATAGTGTTTTTCTTTCTCCACTATTACGGCTAAAATGAAACAAAGGTGGGGCGAAGCTCCAGCTTTGAAGTTGGAAGATTACAGGCAAACTCTAGTGTATTATACATAAAGCAAAAGCAAATTTGATTTGTTGATATATAATATTTTGAATCATATCCAATATGCATTTTGTTAGCAATGGCACCCTAGAGCATTAGATGTTTGGATTAGGGTATAAGATCAAATTAATCCCTAAATCACAAGTTCAAGAACATTTGGAATCTTATATTCATTTTTTGTATCATATTTTTTTAACAATTAAAAACAGTATAATTTGATTTTTATCATTAATAGAAATTAATTTTAATTATTAGTTGATAAAAAATTAATAAAAAATGATCTTAAAAATTACAGAAAAGTGATCAAATAAATTTTCCTGGTTTTGTTACATAATATTTTTTGGTTTTTTACTGTAATTTTTTGATTCTATTTTGTAACATTTGAGATTCTTTTTTATCTTTTTTTTTCAGTCAATTATTGATAAAGTTAACTTTTGTTAATAATAAAGATTAAATTATATCATTTTTAAAAATTTACAGAAAATGTTACATAAAAAATAAATTTAGAGTCTAGAAACTAATTTGTTATTTTATTCAATAAACTATTATATTTCAGGTTAAGGGGCATTTCTATGCCATATTTTTTATTAGAATATCTTGCTGACAATTCAAAGGTTGTAATATTGAGATTTCTCAACTGAGTTTGTTCAAAAATCATATCTATATATTAAGTTAACTAATGAGATATATTAATCTCTATCTGATAGACATCCTCTGTTTTTTCTATACTCATCTAATAGGGTACCACATTAATGTTATATCAACATTGATATTACCACCCAGAATAATATGATTAAATCATGAAAAAAATTATCATCATAATCTCCATTATGATGGAAAGTCTTTAAATTTAGTCAAAGACTTTATTATTTTAGTTAAATAGTGAAATAATTGATTCTGTAACAAACAATGCACACATCAATTTTGAACCAAATGTATTAATCCCCTCACGTGCTTATTTAAATTCTTTTTTTTTTTTTTTTGAGAGAGAGAGAGAGAGAGACCCCTTGGATTAGAAATGGTGCTTCTGCCTGCCCACCAGTAAAACCAACACAAACACGATCAAAATACAACTTGCTTGATCAAAAAATTACTGAATTGAGGTTTATCAGTTCTTCTGGGTCAATATCAAAACCAAAACCCTTGGTCTCACAGCACATAAAATAACCAATTCTGATATATTCATATGACACAGCGTAAACCATTTCAGGTGATAATGATATATGACCCCATAAGCAATAGCAAAAGTTTGGGAAATGTAAAACGTCCACCATTTTTGTTCTGTCAGATAAAACGAGCATTTCAGCAAGCCATCCTCAACAATAAAAACTGAAGAGAAATATAACATGACTTATGGAAAGCCTCCATCATTTTTGTTGTGTCAACTCAATCTTGCATCTCAGGGTGCCAATTTTAAACAATCTAGAAGAACAAGCTAAGATTGAACATAAGACACAAGACGAAACGAACATCTGAACACAACAAAATATATATTGTGCAGAGTATGAATTGAGTAATACGATTCTATCTCTCAAATATTTGCTCTTTCAGAGAGAACTAATTGGGTCCTACTGTATCCATAAACCACAAAACCAAGTTTGAGGAGGTTTAATCTCTTTTCGTATCACATATAGTCTAGAAGAACAGGCTCCTCCCACATTTCAAGCGCTCATCAGAAGTTTATTGATTGTGAAACCAAGAGTTCAATGCAACAGAGATATCCGCCGGTAATGGAAAATTCACACGAAGAAAATGTACTAGATAACAGACAGTAGAAAAAATTTCAGGCCTCAAAATTCACCAGGATCAAACATAGTTTCCTCATCATCAGGCTTAGCTTCCAAATTAGAGGAAGATTCGGCAACTTCTTGTGTCTTCTCGTGCGTCGCCAGAGCATGATTGACGCCATGAACGACGAGCTCGTCATTGTAGAACATGTTTGGAATGAAAACTTGGGCTCCGTTCAGCATCAATGCTCCACTCAGCCTCGATACGTTGATAGAAAACCCATCCAAATACGTCGGTATTTCTGACCCATCGCTAAAATCAACCAGATCGTTCCAGAGAAGCTTGCAGGGCACAACATGGCGAAGAAAGAATGATGGATAGTCGCTGAAATTCCCAAGGTGATTCACCACCACATTATCAGCAGGAGCGAATACTGTCATCGGAGTCTCGTCAATAGACATTTGCATTCCAAGAAACGAAGCCATCACCGAGTACCCTCCTGAGTTCAAGGTTTTAATGGATTCTTTCAAAGAATTTCTGGAACTCACAGTCTCGTTTGTTGCACCACACGCAGGATTTCGATGCGGTCTTCGATGTGGCGCCACGTACCTAAAATTGGGATCGAAGAACCTCTCGATTCCGTAGATTATCATGAACCCATCATCGTAGATTGGGGAGATATTAACCCTCACGTTGTTGAGGGATATTCTTCGATCAGAAGGCGGTGTGGTGACGACCAGAGAGTTCTTATCGAACATCGTTGGAATTTTGGCACCGGAAGGGAGCAGTCGGAGGCTCTGCGCCGGCAATGGCATTGGGGCAACGTGGAATCGGAGCAGATCGAGCGATGGCTGGCCCGTTTTACCGAAGGCAGAGTCAGATGGAGCAAAGATGGTGAGGGAAGGAGATTGAAGGAAAAGGGTTTTGGCGACGACTTCAATGGTCAGGGCCATGGAAATGAAGCCTGAATCGAAGAGAATGTCAGCGGCGTCAAGGATGGCTTCGTAGGGAACGCTGGAGGAGAGAGAGAAGAAGCAGAGAGAGAAGAGAAGAAGAAGTTGAAGAGAGGAAGCCATGGATCATCAGTGAAGCTCGATTCTGTGTCTGTTGCTTGCGAGACTGTGAGTGAAGGCGAGAGTGAGTCGCGAATGGAGGGATTTGGCGGGAAATCATAGGAGGACACGTGGTTCGGTATGATTGGTTGGTACAAAGATGTCGTTAGATGAATCGTTAGGCGTTACTAATGGAGGCTGGCCAGATTAAAAAAAAATCAAAATATCAAGAATGAAAAGACACTGATTAATTTCTGTTCTCATTTTTTTTGTTTTTAAAAATTATATTAATTAAAAACAGTTTAAAATTAAAAATGGATTAATAGTTTTAATTATAGACAATTAATGATAATGATCAATAATAAAAATTGATTAAGATAACTATAATTTTTAATAATTAAAATGATATATATTTTAAAAATAAGAAAAATAAAACAAAAATAACTTACAGTTGTTTCTATTTTTTATTTTTAAAATTAAAAAAAAATTTAGAAACAATTAAATGAAAAATACTTATTCAAATAAATTTTTTATTTTTTTTAAAGATAAAAAACAGTTTTTAAAATAAAAATAAATAGGCCCATAAATGCCTTATACATGGTTGATATAAAAAGGTAGAAATTTGTAAAATTTGGAACAAAATCAGATTTTGTGTATCCTTCAAGAAGCATTGAAAATTAGAGTCACATTATTATTTTATTGAAGTTAGTATTTATTTATATTTTTATAATTTGAAGGATGTTTGTAAATAGAGAAAGTTGAAGGAAATTATTTATTTTTAATTTATAAATTTATTGGAATATTGAATATGTCGGTCTGGATGAATATGTTGCATTTCAATTTTTATTGTTTATCAGTATTTTTATATTCGATCATAAAATGATATTTTAAAAAAAGGTCGACAAAGAAGGAATGAAAAAGTTGCACCCATAAAAGTCCAGTCTCATGAGTTGATGGGCATAGCATGCTTGACGATTTTTTTTTTTTTTAAGAGATAAACGGCCCAGTCCAATTGATAATTTTACATTGTTTTTATTGCATATATATATATATATATATATTATCCTATTTAATTTACAGACAGGCACTAAATATAAAAATATTTCTTAAATTTTAGTTTGTTACGTTACAAAGGGCTAACATTTTTTGTTAGAACTAATTTCTGTTGGTATTTTATGTTGCTTTTATGAATAGGAAAATCACTCTCATATATCATTTAATTAACCTAAGTATAAACAAGTCTCATAAAATCATAGCATTACTTTGAATTATTCCACTAACTAATATTTAAGAATAATTGATAATTTCAATATATATAGCAAATTAATAATTTTAATGAGGAAGATGTGATTTCAAAATAATTTATAATTTTATGAGACTTTTTATATATTTATATTTCTTGTTTGCAACCTGAAAGTAATTATCCCTTTATAAATTTGATGAAATCATACGCAGCATTTCCCATTTTAAAAGCATCATTTGACTTCTATAATATTTATTTGAATTTGCTTCTCTTCTCCTTCAATAAAATTAAGTTCTATATTTCGAATTTCGTATTTTAATGTGATAGCAAAGGCAAAAACGTTATTGTCAAACTTTAATACGAGATTTTGATTTTAATTTTATTATTAATCATTAATATGAAACAAGTTAGTAATATAATTCAAAAGTATTAGCTAAGGGGATTAGGGATGCTTTAGCCTTTAAGGCTCTTTTATTATTGCTTTATTATTGTTCTGTTTACATCATCCTTTGAAATCTGAGTTTCATCTACAACTAATCTACATCCTCTTTTTAATATTAAGTTAGTAAATTTTAGCCTATAGACATTGTTGGATTAGCTTTATATTTATCAACAAAATATATACACTATTGGGGTCTTTTTATTATTATATAATCTTTCTTTGACTTCTTAACTCTATAGTTGAATTGAATTCCTTTGTAGCCCAATTCAAAGCCAGAATCACATCGCATCACGTCACGTCAGTTAATTTATTAAATATAATATATACTCTTTTATTTTATTTATAAATTATTTTTATTAATTCCATTAACATCAATATAATAAAAATATAAAAAATAAAATTTAATAAAATTACAAACATAATATTATATAATATTATTTTTTAGTTTTTTTTCTCTCTTATTTTTTAAGTGTAGTTTAGATATTTTTGTTTAAAATAAAAATATCACTATCAATCGAATAATTTATAAAGTGAATCACTTCACTTTTCTAAATTATGACTAATAAAGTAGACTGGAGGGGATAAGTTTC